TCATTAAAGTTTCTTACTTAAGTTCCACAATAAAGTTCCTAAGTACAGTTCATTAAAGTTTCTTACTTAAGTTCCACAATAAAGTTCCTAAGTACAGTTCATTAAAGTTCTTCTTTAAAATTATTAAGTACAAAAAGCTTATCATTAATAAATAATTAAACCTTAACATTAACATCTATAAAACTACCAGACTATCCTAGGTGTGAACAACTACACGATATCTGAGGCTATCCAGGGGCACTCTCTCTTATCCAGGGGCCCTCTCTCTTATCCAGGGGCCCTCTCTTTTATCCAGGGGCCCTCTCTCTTATCCAGGGGCCCTCTCTTATCCAGGGTCCCTCTCTCTTATCCAGGGGCCCTCTCTCTTATCCAGGGGCCCTCTCTTATCCAGGGTCCCTCTCTCTTATCCAGGGGCCCTCTCTCTTATCCAGGGGCCTCTCTCTTATCCAGGGGCCCTCTCTCTTATCCAGGGGCCCTCTCTCTTATCCAGGGGCACTCTCTCTTATCCAGGGGCCCTCTCTCTTATCCAGGGGCCCTCTCTTATCCAGGGTCCCTCTCTCTTATCCAGGGGCCCTCTCTCTTATCCAGGGGCCCTCTCTTATCCAGGGTCCCTCTCTCTTATCCAGGGGCCCTCTCTCTTATCCAGGGGCCCTCTCTCTTATCCAGGGGCCCCTCTCTCTTATCCAGGGGCCCTCTCTCTTATCCAGGGGCCCTCTCTCTTATGCAGGGGCCCTCTCTCTTATCCAGAGGCCCTCTCTCTTATCCAGGGGCCCTCTCTCTTATCCAGGGGCCCTCTCTCTTATCCAGGGGCCCTCTCTCTTATCCAGGGGCCCTCTCTCTTATCCAGGGGCCCTCTCTTATCCAGGGTCCCTCTCTCTTATCCATGGGCCCTCTCTCTTATCCAGGGGCCCTCTCTCTTATCCAGGGGCCCTCTCTTTTATCCAGGGGCCCTCTCTCTTATCCAGGGGCCCTCTCTCTTATCCAGGGGCCCTCTCTCTTATCCAGGGGCCCTCTCTCTTATCCAGGGGCCCTCTCTCTCTTATCCAGGGGCCCTCTCTCTTATCCAGGGGCCCTCTCTCTTATCCAGGGGCCCTCTCTCTTATCCAGGGGCCCTCTCTTTTATCCAGGGGCCCTCTCTCTTATCCAGGGGCCCTCTCTTTTATCCAGGGGCCCTCTCTCTTATCCAGTGGCCCTCTCTTTTATCCAGGGGCCCTCTCTCTTATCCAGGGGCCCTCCCTCTTATCCAGGGGCCCTCTCTTTTATCCAGGGGCCCTCTGTTTTATTCAAGGGCCCTCTCTTTTATCCAGGGACCCTCTCTTTTATCCAGGGGCCCCTCTCTTTTATCCAGGGGCCCCTCTCTTTTATCCAGAGTCCATCTCTTTTATCCAGGGGCCCCTCTCTTTTATCCAGGGCCCCTCTCTTTTATCCAGGGGCCCCTCTCTTTTATCCAGGGGACCTCTCTTTTATCCAGGGACCCTCTCTTTTATCCAGGGGCCCTCTCTTTTATCCAGGGGCCCTCTCTTTTATTCAAGGGCCCTCTCTTTTATCCAGGGGCCCCTCTCTTTTATCCAGGGGCCCCTCTCTTTTATCCAGAGTCCATCTCTTTTATCCAGGGGCCCCTCTCTTTTATCCAGGGCCCCTCTCTTTTATCCAGGGGCCCCTCTCTTTTATCCAGGGGACCTCTCTTTTATCCAGGGACCCTCTCTTTTATCCAGGGGACCCTCTCTTTTATCCAGAGGCCCTCTTTTTTATCCAGGGGCTCTCTCTTTTATCCAAGGACCCTCTCTTTTATCCAAGGGCCCTCTCTTTTATCCAGGGGCCACTCTCTTTTATCCAGCGGCCCTCTCTTTTATCCAGGGGCCCTCTCTTTTGTCCAGGGACCCTTTCTTTTATCCAGGACCCTCCCTTTTATCCAGGGACCCTCTCTTTCATGAAGGACCCTCCCTTTAATCAAGGGGCCCTCTCTTTTATCCAGCGGCTCTCTCTTTTATCCAGGGGCCCTCTCTTTTATCCAGGGACCCTCTCTTTTATCCAGGACCCTCCATTTTATCCAGGGACCCCTCTTTTATCCAGGACCCTCCCTTTTATCCAGGGGCCCTCTCTTTTATCCAGGGGCCCTCTCTTTTATCCAGGACCCTCCCTTTTATCTAGGGACCCTCTCTTTTATGCAGGACCCTCCCTTTTATCCAGGGATCCTCTCTTTTATCCAGGACCCTCCCTTTTATCCAGGGACCCTCTCTTTCATCCAGGACCCTCCCTTTAATCCAGGGGCCCCCTCTCTTTTATCCAGCGGCTCTCTCTTTTATCCAGGAACCCTCTCTTTTATCCAGGGGCCCTCTCTTTTATTCAAGGGCCCTCTCTCTTATCCAGGGACCCTCTCTTTTATCCAGGGGCCCCTCTCTTTTATCCAGGGGTCCCTCTCTTTTATCCAGAGGCCCTCTCTTTTATCTAGGGACCCTATCTTTTATCCAGGGGCCCTTCTCTTTTATCCAAATACCCT